CCCTGAGAGCAGGCACTGAGATGTTCATGAGAACAGGCACTGGGGTGACCCCAGACAAGACACTGAGCGAACACTTAGAGCAAACCCTGAGGGTCAGTGCAAGGCTGAGGAAGGACAACCCCATGCTGGAAGAGGCATGGAAGGGGCATGGAAGAGGCTGGAAGAGGATGGAAGAGGCAAAACTGAGAATACCCAGCATGGACAATCCTTTGGGGTCTGCTGCAGACATAGTGTATTAGGTTAGAGCAAGGTGCACTCCTGAGATGCTTCTCAGCCAGGAACACACACTTTGCATTGCCCAGGACAGGAACCCTGCAGGGAGGAGCAGAGACAGCGCTGGCACCAAAGGGGGGACACTTTGTGCCCCTGTGCCCCCCATCCCCTGCCCGGCCCCCCAGGACTCACGAGAAGTTGAAGCTGCTGCCGTCCCCCCACTGCAGCTCCCGGCCCCGTCTGTGCAGCCCGAGCCAATAATCGACCTTTGCGCTGTGAGTGAAGAGGAACTCCTGGGAAGGAGAGAGGAACCGGCAGTCGGAGCTGCAGCCGTGGCCCGGGAGCACCCCAGGCTCCCCTCGGCCACTCCACAGCCCCCAACCCCCCTCACTCACCATTTCCCAGTCCTGGAGCACGGCCAGGGAGGCCCCGAGCTCAGAGCACCGAGCCTGAGCCTGATCCCAGCTGAGCTGATCCCTCGAGAGGAAGTAGCAGATCCCGCGGTGCCCGACCCAGCCATGGGGACAGGCCAGCAGCACTGGAGTGTCAGCTGTAACTGGAGTAACTGGAGTAACTGGAGTCTCTCCGTGTCCTCCCCCTGCAGAGGGAAGAGGAGAAGCTCCAAGGATTCCCCTCCACAGGGAGCAGGGACCCCGCTCTGCCCCACGGGCTGGGCCGAGGCAGCTGCACCTCCCTTACCTGACACAACAGCCAAGGACACCAACAAAGCCAGGATCAGGAGCAGAATCAGCACCAGGGTGAGCATGGGATGGGATCTGAACCACTCACCTGGAGCAGGAAAATCAGGACAGAGCCACTGGCCATGAGGACAGAGCTGTCCTGAGYAGRCCCAGCCCTCCCAATCCACCACCCAACGGCCCGGGAGGACAGGAGGGACCTCCAAGTCCATGCACCCCTCGCTCAAGTGGCAGCAGGAGAGACCAGGGACAGTGTCAGGACACAGCCATGGACACAATCTCACGCATTAGAACAGCCCAGGGCCAGGGGCAGCCAGGGGTATCAGTCTCGGCCACTGCTGGGGCCCAGCAGAGCACAAGGCTTCCTCCAGTCCCTGGGAGCAGCCCCAGCCCTGCCAGCCCTGTGCTCCTGGGGTGACACTGTCCCCTCCCTACAGGCCACATGCGTGGTCCCAGACTCATCTAGACATGGAAGGATTCTATTCTGTACATTCATGGTTACTGATCCATCCTGGGGACCTGGGAGATTAATCTCAACCCTCTTAATGCAGGTGAATTCTCTCTTCTTCAGCTCATAGCTGGCATCTCTCTGCTTGGCATAATGTGCACATCGTTTCTCAGACATCAACAGTGCTGAAAAAGCCTTTAGTAGATAGGTCCCGGCAGCAGCTTGACAGCCACGATGATGGAAGGTTGAAAGGACCACGATGAGAGGGCCCAGCTGGTCCCTTTCCTGCACTTCCCTCAGGCTCAGGACGGCTGTGCCAGCTCTGCCCTGTCTCTGCTCCCCTGGGACCCTGCAGCAGCACCTGCGGCAAAAAGCACGATCTCTGAGAGCTTCGGGTCTGCTGTGGCCCCCGCAACCCAGGCCCCCTCCGGCTCTGCCGCTGCTGCAGACGAGCTCCGGGCCGGGACAGGAGGGGACAGCGGCCGGGAGCTGCCGAATGCGGGCACGGGGCAGCTGCGGATCGGGCTCAACCTCCCGAGGGGGAAGAACCAGCAGCCCTGAGGGGGCTCAGGACTGTCCCCTGCATCCCCTGCCCTGGTGGGGCACACCAAGCGCTGGCAGCGTCGCTTTGTGTCCCTGACTGGGAACAGGAGGGCTCTGGGCAGGGAAAGCAAAATTCGGGTGGCTCCAGCCCCGGGAAACCGTGCGGGAAAAGGCTCTCCCTGCCTTCCCCGGCCGCGCGTGTCTTTCACTCCCAGAATGGTTTGGGTTGTGATGGACGTTCGAGTTATCCCGTCCCACGCTAGCCCCGGGCACGGMCATCTCCCGGTGCCCGAAGTGGCTCCCTGCCGGGTCCCTCACGGGCGGGAACAGTCCCGGAGATGAAGCAGCCGTCCCTGTCCTACCAACAGGAACCGGGAAACGAGCCAGAGCTGCTCCGGCACCGGCTCCTGCCTCTCTCTCAGGTCAGCGCGAACACGGCAGAACG